TGGTATCTTCTTTAATTTCTCTCATGAGTGTCTTGTAGTTTCAGAGTATAGGTCTTTTACTCCTTCATCAGGTTTTATTCCTAGGTATTTTATTCTTTTCAATGGAATTGTGAATGGAATTGTTTTCCTGATTTCTCTTTCTGCTAGTTCATCATTAGTATATAGGAATGCAACAGATTTCTGTGTATTGGTTTTGTATCCTGCAACTTTGCTGAATTCTGATATTAGATCTAGTAGTTTTGGAGTGGATCCTTTAAGGTTTTTTATGTACAATATCATGTCATCTGCAAACAGGGACAGTTTAACTTCTTCCTTGCCAATTTGGATGCCTTTTATTTCTTTGTGCTGTCTGATTGCCGGGGCTATGACCTCCATTACTATGTTGAATAAAAGTGGGGAGAGTGGTCATCCTTGTCTTGTTTCTGATCTTAAAGGAAAAGCTTTCAGCTTCTTGCTATTAAGTCTGATGTTGGCTGTGGGTTTATCATATATGGCCTTTATTATGTTGAGGTACTTGCCCTCTATACCCATTTTGTTGAGAGTTTTTATCATGAATGGATGTTGAATTTTGTCGAATGCTTTTTTTGGCCTCTATGGAGATGATCATGTGTTTTTTGTCCTTCTTTTTGTTGATGTGGTGGATGATGTTGATGGAGTTTTGAATATTGTACCATCCTTGCATCCCTAGAATAAATCCTACTTGATTATGATGGATGATCTTTTTGATGTATTTTTTAATTCAGTTTGCTAATGTTTTGTTGAGTATTTTTGCATCTATGTTCATCAGGGTTATTGGTCTGTGGTTTCCTTTTTTTGTGTGGTGTCTTTGCCTAGCTTTGATATTAGAGCGATGCTGGCCTCATAGAATGAGTTTGGAAGTATTCCTTCCTCTTCTACTTTTTGGATAACTTTAAGGAGGATGGGTATTAGTGCTTCACTAAATATTTGATAAAATTCAGCAGTGAAGCCATCTGGTCCAGGCATCTTGTTCTTAGATAGTTTTTGATTACCAGTTCAATTTCATTGATGGTAATTGGTTTGTTCAGATTTTCTGTTTCTTCCTGAGTCAGTCTTGGAAGGCTGTATTTTTCTAGAAAGTTGTCCATTTCTTCTAGGTTATCCAGTTTGGTAAGTTTTTATTTGTTATATATTACTGCATAACATACCACTTCACTACTTGGTGGCTTAAAACAATAACAGTTTATTAATTCTCAGTTTGTGGGTTGGCCGTGCTCAGTTGAGTGGTTCTTCTGCTCCACTGATGGTGGCTAGTGTCACTGATAAGAGCACATGCTTTCAGCTTCAGAGTTTGGTTGGGACTGGGATGTCTTAAGAAAGCTGCACTCACATGTCTTGTGTTGGTTGTAGACTAGTATCTGGAGCATTTCCTTCAGTATCTAGAGCATCCTTCTTATAGCATGGAGGCTGGATTCCAAGTGTATGAACATGGAAGCTGCCACTTCTCTTGAGGCCTAGATGTAGAGATCACTCCCACCACATTTGGTTTTTGAAATGAGTTATGAGGCCAGCCCAGATTCAAAGCAAGGGCAAATAGACTCCATCTCTTGTTGAGATGGGTGGCGTGCACCTCAGGAATGGGAGGAGTTATTAGTGGCAGTGTCTGCAGATGATATACGTTAGCATGTTGAGATATTCATTAGTATTATCTTTTCAATGCAAAGTAGTGCATTTATTAGTGAAGTTCCAGGCATTTGAGTGTTATGTGAGCCGTCGGTTTTGAATTGTGAATTGTTTAGAGAGAGAAGTACTGTGAACATTTTGGGCTTAACTGAGCAGCAGCTGAAGAAGACTACTGACTGTATTGCCCTTTTATCTGTTTTACTTGCCATTTATATTGTGCTCTACATGTTCCCTAGTTTGAGTGGAGGTTGGAATGAGAAACCAGAGGATCAGAAGGGTGGTCCTGGACTCTTCTTTGATTCTTGGTGTAACCTAGAGCAAGTGACTCCCATCAGCAGGGCGGGTATGCACAGGCCAAGAAGCAAAAGCAAACAAGCCTATTGTTCTGGGCTGATACCATGTTAACAGATGGCAAAGGGAAACTTGAACTGCTTAGCTGCTGTTTGTCTTCCCAACTCTCTGTCCTAATTGATTTCTCTGTTACCTTTTTGCCTCCTACAGTTCATTTCCTACATAGCAACCAGAGGGATCTTTCAAAAAATATAAATCAGATTGTGTCATTCATTCCTCACCTTAAAATACGCAAGTGGGCTTCCATTGTACTTGTAATAAAATACAGACTCCTTATCATAAATTGGCTCCTGCTCCCACTCTTCACTTGCACCTTCTGTGACTCTCCCTTTATGCTTCATCCACATTTTGTTTCTTTCTGTTTCTGGAACCCCCTAGGTTCATCCTGACAGGTTCAACCTGTCTTAGGGCATTTACACTTGCTGTTCCCTCTCTCTGAAATACTCTGCCCCTAGATCTCTGTGTGGCTGGTACTTCATTCAAGGCCTAGCCCAGACGACCTTAGAGAGACCTGTCCTGGCCTCCCAGACTGTAGTAAGGCACCAAGCATTCTGTCTTACAATTTCTCTGTTCTGTTCTTTCTGGCACTGAATGTCTGATTCTCAGTTTTCTCATGTACAGAATGGAATTGATAATAACCATACATACTTCACAGACTTAATGAGGGTTAAATGAGTCAGTATTTAAAAGGGTGTCTGGCACGCGATATTCTCTCAGATGTTAGCTGTATTATTAAGTTTTTTCTTTGCTACTTGAAATTGGCCTTCTTATTTACTTGCTTGTTTACTGTCTTTCATCCAAAACTAGAATGTCATTTCTTTGCCAGCAGGGACTACCTTTGTTTGTCTTACTCATGTCCCAACCATATTTGCAATATGTTGGCACATACAGTAGATTTTCAACAAGTACTTGTAAAATGAATAACTGAAAGGCAGGAATGATCATCCTGAATAAGCCAAAAAGTCCTTGGCAACATGAAATTAAAGCTTGAAAAAGTTGAATGGATCATGAGAGATTGTTTAGGTCACTCAAAATGAGTTTAAGATTTTTGATCTAGAAGGACTCTATTCCAGGACACTGAAAGAAGTTGGGGATGATTTATTATCAAGCTTTATTTTTATGGAATTTTGAAAAGTGGAAAAATGGCAGAATTAGGAAGATAGCTCAATGCAGTCCTGATTTTCAATAGTGAGGAATATGGGTTCAGAAGCGATTCAGGGAGCTTTATTCTACTTGTGGGCAGAGTTCTAGAATGTGTGATTGAAAGGATGGCTTGTGAATGCTTAGAACAGTGTTGTTCATTGGGAAGGTGGGGTGCCATCAGAGAAAAGAGGCCTAGAAAAGTTTTTTTTTAGGTCACCACTTAGTTTGGTGGCAGAATTGAGAAGAGAATAAAGACCTGGTTCTTCTCCAACAGTGCCTGCAAACTGGAATGAATCTTAGAGCTCCTTAAATTCTATGTGAAATATAATCTTTTCTTTTTTGCTTTTATTTGGAGGGTAAGCTAAAAAAAAAAAAGGACACCTCTGAAGACAGTTGCTCAGGGAGCATTGATCCCTGGAAGTTCTAGGACATACTCTCCCAGCTAAAAGAGGTTTGTGCAGTACTGTAGGTCGAGAAACTTGGTACTGATATTTTACCAATTTATCCGATTAACCAATCACTACCTGTTGCACATCTCCAGAAAACAGTGTTATGTCCTTCCATTAGACCAGTGCTGTCCAACATGGTACTTCTACCACAAGTAGCTGTTGACAAGTGAAAATGGAACTACTCCAAACTGGCATGTCCCGAAGTGGAAAATGAATACTGGAGTTTGAAAACTTAGTACAAAAAAAAAAGTAAAATATTTCATCATTATTTGTTTTACTTTGAGTATGTATAGAAATGGTAATATTTTTGGTGTGTCATATTACATGAAATATATTATTAAAATTAATTTTATCTTTTTAAAAAATGTGGTTAAAATTCCATATGTGGCTTGTATTATCATATGGTGCTGTGTTAGAACCTGTTGCTTCTCTCAGCAGGAAAAGTTGAAGAAACTGATGAATGTCAATGTGCAGATGAGATGACATGACAGCTGCCTTCAGCCATTTGGGTAGTTCTCATTCATAAAAGAGATTCTCTGTGTTCTGTATTTCTCTAAAGGTGGAAGGAAGACAAATGTCAGGATAGAAATGTCTAATATTATAAAGACCTTTCTAAAATGGTTGTCCAAAGATGGTATGCACTCCTAGACATAGTAAATCCTTCATCGCTATATCCAGTTCAAGCACGGTTAGTACAGTTATTTAGAGCGTTCAGGTGGTTAAAATGAATTTCCTTTCCAGTCCTGAGATTCTGATCCTGAGATGAAATCATGCAGAGGGCTGATTTTGTAGAAACAGGAAATAAATGGATTCTGTGGGCAGGAAAAGAAAACAAAGTTTACTTCATTCTTGTGTCCTTTCCCTTTAAGCTATCGTATGATTATTTTTTAGTTGAGGAGCTTTGCATCCTTGGTTACAACCAGATGTTTGGTTCTCTGAGCAGCAGCGAATCTGGTGTACAGTGTATCAGTTTCACCTCTGAAGACAGTTGCTCAGGGAGCATTGATCCCTGGAAGTTCTAGGACATACTCTCCCAGCTAAAAGAGGTTTGTGCAGTACTGTAGGTCGAGAAACTTGGTACTGATATTTTACCAATTTATCCGATTAACCAATCACTACCTGTTGCACATCTCCAGAAAACAGTGTTATGTCCTTCCATTAGACCAGTGCTGTCCAACATGGTACTTCTACCACAAGTAGCTGTTGACAAGTGAAAATGGAACTACTCCAAACTGGCATGTCCCGAAGTGGAAAATGAATACTGGAGTTTGAAAACTTAGTACAAAAAAAAAAGTAAAATATTTCATCATTATTTGTTTTACTTTGAGTATGTATAGAAATGGTAATATTTTTGGTGTGTCATATTACATGAAATATATTATTAAAATTAATTTTATCTTTTTAAAAAATGTGGTTAAAATTCCATATGTGGCTTGTATTATCATATGGTGCTGTGTTAGAACCTGTTGCTTCTCTCAGCAGGAAAAGTTGAAGAAACTGATGAATGTCAATGTGCAGATGAGATGACATGACAGCTGCCTTCAGCCATTTGGGTAGTTCTCATTCATAAAAGAGATTCTCTGTGTTCTGTATTTCTCTAAAGGTGGAAGGAAGACAAATGTCAGGATAGAAATGTCTAATATTATAAAGACCTTTCTAAAATGGTTGTCCAAAGATGGTATGCACTCCTAGACATAGTAAATCCTTCATCGCTATATCCAGTTCAAGCACGGTTAGTACAGTTATTTAGAGCGTTCAGGTGGTTAAAATGAATTTCCTTTCCAGTCCTGAGATTCTGATCCTGAGATGAAATCATGCAGAGGGCTGATTTTGTAGAAACAGGAAATAAATGGATTCTGTGGGCAGGAAAAGAAAACAAAGTTTACTTCATTCTTGTGTCCTTTCCCTTTAAGCTATCGTATGATTATTTTTTAGTTGAGGAGCTTTGCATCCTTGGTTACAACCAGATGTTTGGTTCTCTGAGCAGCAGCGAATCTGGTGTACAGTGTATCAGTTAGGAATGTGTTTGGCAGCAAGTGAAACAAAACATAAAAACACAGGAAGCACCAAACTGACTATATAGCAAAGTAAGAGATTTATTTTAATCTTACAACAACAAGTCTGGAGGTCATCTGCTTCTGTGTCAGTTCCTGGGCTCAGAGGCATCATCAGGATGTGTGTCTCTGCTATTCACTTTTGGATTTTCTTTTCCATGTGGTAGCAAGATGGCTGCAGCTGCAGTGCATCTGTATGGCTGGAAGATAAGGGGATGCCTTTCCCTTGTCAGCTCCTGATGCATCTGTCGCTGTTACCAGGGAAAGCAATATGCTTCTCAGAAACCCCCAGCACAATTCCTCTCTCCTTTCCTTGGCTGAAACGGTCATATGGCCACTCCTTGTGCAAGAGAAACAGAAATGAACGTTTGCCTTTCTTGCCTCCCCAGCGGGCACAACAGAGAAGGAGGTTGGGGAAGACAGTCGCGTAAGCCCAGAGACAGCGTCTTTCACGGGAGCCATAGGTGTGGCCAAGGGCACTCCTCCCAAGTCATTATTTGAGTGCTTTGGAGTCAAGAAAAAACATAATCTCATCCCATTTTTATTTTTAAAAATTCCTCACCAGGTGGTTTAGATGCCACTGATGACTATTGCCTCAGAAGAGTTTTACTAAACAACTTGTTCTAGGAAGAGAAAACAGGACCCGAGAAGTACGTGCCTTGGATTCTTGTGTAGATTAATTGTGGAGTAGGAGTAAGGCTTCTTGCTTTCTACCTCTCTACCTTTATTATCAAGGAGAGCATATTTCCCCCAGTTGATAAGGCACATTGGATATAACTGTCACTATCTTGCATCTTACAGGTTTGGACATTTTATTTTATGGCAGAGGAATCTTGAGTAGATACATGGATGTGTATCTGGTAAGGAACTGACTTAGAATTCTTATCTCCACATAAATTTGTTGTATTTCCCTATCTGTGTTCCTTGTGCTTCTCTTTTTTAACCAGTGGCCCATTGCGGGTATCAGTGGTACAGTATATATCTAAGAATAAAACAATTTTAAACCACCATAATTACTGGTGGTGTTCAGCCAAGTTCCTAATTATCAGCAGCTGCTGCACATACTCCTTAGATATGCAGTTGCATGTTCTCAAACTATTCTGCTTTGAAGAAAAAATCTTACTGATTAAAAAGATGCAGATTGAACCCGATACACCTCCTGCCTTTCGTGACTCAAGGCCCCCACTGTACTGGCCCCAGCCTTTCTAACAAAGTCGCTTGTGAATTACCTTGGGAAATGATGTTGGTGGTGGTGTGATGGTATTTCCTGAGAGCATGATAATGAAAGGTTGGAAATATATAAGAAATTCAAGTTTTACTGAAGAGGACAATTGACTTGTGGAGTACTGTATAATGACAACTGGGTGTGTGTAGTAATAGAAAGAATTTGATACATTAATTAGTAAGGGTCCATTGTGAGCTGAGAGCTGGGGACTTTATTTTGACCATTTAGTGGGAAGAGAATATGAATAGAAAACTAGCTGAGTGAGGGTCCCTCCACTGTCTGTCTGTTGTTGGGTTTTATATAAGTTCTCTCATCTCATCCTCAAAAACCTCTCCTTATGAAATAGGTATTTGGCAGAAAAGGAAGCTCAGAGAGATGACCTTTTCCAAGGTCTCAAAACAAGTACAGCATGGCTCTGTTATTTAAGCCCAGGGCTGACTCTAAGACCTGTGCTTCTCTTACTGAATTAGTTTGAATATTTGCAAAGACAGCAGCTTTCATTGTTTTTGTGGTTAATGAACTGGTAACCAGTCAGTAATTTAGCTATTTACTCACTCTCAACTTTGTTGGATTTATTTGAGCCCAAGTATTATTTATTTGGGACAATAAATGTATTTTTACATTTAACTACGTATTTGATTTTTCTTAGGTCTTGCTTTTTGTGTTAGAGAACCAATCTTTACTAGTACTCTTTTTGCTGGGGTACATCTCTTATCAGGCAAAAATGTTATTCAGATAAATAAATACATACCATGACAACTGAAACATAAAGAACTACAAGTTACTGTTCTTTCCTTATTCTTTTCTGCTGTGAATCTTACCAGGTAGAAGTTTGGTTTTCATAGCAGGAAAGAACAAGTAGCAACTTTGTGAATTGTGGCAAGGATAAACAAGATGGCGTACCATAGTACAGTAGTTAACAGAAAGGAATAGAGCTGTTCCTGCAGACATAGGAAGGTCTGTTGTAACTGAGAGAGTAATCTTTGGTATTTGGTCATCTCAGTTTCACGATAACTGAAGAAGCAAGAACCTTGGAATTGCTCCTCTGTATATTTCATTCCTGGATAATTACCAGCCATACTCAGATTTTGAAAGGTCCCTTTATTTTGTGATTGCATCTTTCAGCAGCAATTTTTTATTACCCTATTACACAATTTATCTCATTTATGATGCTTAGGTGGGAGAACTTAAAACCTCAGCAACTGAAATAATCACTCTGATTGAGCATTTTGTCGTGCTTTCACTTATTTTGCTGTTGAGCAGGTGGGGTTCAAGACAGGTGAATATTTTCCAGGTGTGCTTTTGAATAACTGGACAGCCCTTTGGGGTCTCTGAAGGAATAACACCGTTGACTGTATTCTCGCCTGCTGTCTCCATGCACTGCTTCCTGTGGTCCCTCTGCAGGGGGCTCTGTAGTTGTGTGCTGATTCCTCAGTTCATATTGAACTGAGGAGGAGGGGTCGGTAGTTCATCCAAACAGCAAATCTCTGAGCCTTGCTTGGTTTGCTTATTTGGGTACCAAAACCTGTCACTATCCAGGAGATACACATTTCATTTGCTTTATTACCATTTTAGGCATGAAATGGAACCATTTTCTCCCAGAACATAATGTCCTTGTATAGAAAGAGTGAAAGCACTTTGTAGGCTTTATGGAGTCTAGAGACAGGCCCGTAAGTAACTGAAGCCGGAATGACTCACCTTGACACTGATGGCCTTTTCCTGAGGTTATTGAGGAGAGGTGGTAATGGGAAGTGTGGCTTCTTGACCCACAGTACCCAGTCTCTGGCTCAGTGATAGGTCAACAGGAAGCTGAGCCTGTGGGAGCAGCTAGCAAGTTGAAGGGATTTGCTGTCTTACTCAGACACAGAAGGCAGGGCATGCTCAGCTCAGTATTAATGGCATTCATTTAGTCTGGGGGACTTAATGCAGCTTCTAGATGTGCCTACTTATTGCCACACACATACGAAAGAGAAATTGAGACCCACCTTAGGGATCAGCTTTTTAGGAAGTTTTTTCTAAAAATATTCTCTGCTCCTGGAGGAGGGCTTTCTGTTGTTCTCCTGGGCATTCTTCTAACGTAGAACTTACCTTGCTCTATTATGCTTGTCTGTTTACTTGTTTATCTCCCCTCTCTAAGCTGTGAACTTGAGGACAGAGGTAGTGTCCATCACTATTTGAAACTCAGTGCCTAGTACATATTAGTGTTCAGTAAATGTTTGTTAACTATATGAAAGAGTGATGTTCTTTCCATTCTTCCACACTTTACTCCAACCTTTCCAGGGAAAGAAATTATACCAGTTATCCCCAGTTGCTAACCAGAACTAACTGAAACATGGTAGCATAGACAAGAATAGAGCTGAAAAATAAAGATGATTATAAAATATGTAGGAATTAGGAAGGACATGAATGAAAATGTGTCCAACTTAGGAAATAAAAACACACTTGACTAAAAAGAGAAACAGCATGTTCATTGATGAGAAGGGTCAATATAGTAAAGCAATATCGCATTTTGTCTACATTAACCTAAAATCTGATGCAGTTCCAACAAAAACTACAGAGGGGTTATTCTTGTCTGGAATTTGATGAAGTCGTTTTAAAATTTAGAAAAAAAATATTGAGACTAGAAGAATGAAAAATGGGAGATTTTTATCTCATCAAATATTAAAACATTATAAAATACAGTAAACAAAAACAAAGTATGCTGTAAACTCTGAAAATAGAGGCCAGTATAACCTGGATATCAAACCTTGACAAAGACATAAGAAAAAAATTATAGACTTCATCAACAAATGCAAAAATCCTTAATAAAATGTTAACAAGTTGCATTTAGCATAATAGAAAAAGACTAATATCAAATGGGTTTATTTATCCCAGAAATTCAAGATAGGTTTAGCATTAGAAAGTCGATGTAATTTATTGTATTAACAGAGTAAAAGAGAAATCAGAATGGTATAGCTACAACAGGGAGTCTAAAACCAAGACTGAGTGTATATGGAAGCCTAGTATAGGTACACAATCCCTTATCTGAACGGTGTGGGACTAGCCATGTTTCAGTACTTAGGTTTTCAGTAACATCTCATAGCCAAATTAATTTTTATTTTTTATTATTATTTTTTATTTTAATTTTAATTTTTACAAAGCAGACTAATAGTGACACTAAATGGAATAAATAAAGGTCAGGTCTAAGCATTAAGCTGGGTCAGGCTTTGCCACCAAACGAATTTTCTCAGCAAACTTAAAAAGCAAACAATTCTTTGTTTACCCAGCTGCATGATTTCAGGATCTCAAGTAAGGAATTACCAACTTTTTTATATGAAGGTGATATTTCAAATCAATGAGAAAAGGATTTTTGAAAGGTATTGGGATTGCATACTACTCATTTAAGAGAAAAAGACAAAGTTAAATAGAACTTTGTAGAGAACTCATTTATGATTAAAGATTTTACTATTAAAAATTAAAGAATTATAAAAAATACAATGAAATATATACTCAGTCTTTATAATCTTGTAGTAGTGAAGATCTTCGTAAGCATGACACCAATGGCAGAAACAAAGAATTAAAAAAAAAAGAAAAAGAAAAAAGAGATTAGATTTAACTATGCAAAGATTAACTTCTGTATAACAAAGAACATCATAAAGTTAAAAATTAATGTCAACATGGGAAAAATGTTAGCAACATATATAGCAGCCAAAGAGTTATTACCCATAATTTATAACGAGCTCTTACTGATTAATGAACATAAGATGAATTTTCTATCAAGAAAATGGACGAAGGATATGAAAAAGCCATTTGCAAAAGAAGAAATACAAATGGCCACCAATACTCTACCACTATTCTGGTGACAGTTATGACTACTACAACTAGCAGCTACCATTCACTGAATGTTTATTATGTGCCTACCACTGCACTGGGCTAAGGGCTTTACATTTAATACTTAAGAAAACACTGAGATAGGTGCAATTATTTACATTTTGCAATTATGAGCCTCCAATTGAGGGAGTTAAGGCAGCTTGTCCTAGGTCACACATTTAGGAGGGTTTTTGTAACCCAGGACTGTTGGCCTCTAAAGCTCTTGCTCTATAGAACATACTTACTTACTGTCTCTCTTAAGCAATATACTTATGAAAATAATATGCAAATGAAGGCAACCTGAAGTTGCCATTTGTTTTGTCTACAAGATTGGTAGTGATTTTAAAAGAATACTTATTGCCAGGGAAAATTGGTGTGTGGAGAAGCTTGCACTCATCTTTTATGGCTGTTGGGAGTATCATTTGGCAGTATCTTTCTGGAAGGCAATTTGGCAATATGTATCAGAAGCCACATCCTTTGACATAGTATTTCTACTTCTAGGAATTTGTTTGAAAGGACTAATTTGACGTGAGCTCGTATGTACAAGGATATTCAATTTAGTATTGTTTATAGAAGCACAAGGTTGAAACTTACTTGTCAGTCAATGAAAGATTGGTTAAATCAGTTATGGGGGAATTGAAGACGTAGAACTGTATTTATTAAGTTTTGAATATAGTCCCTGATTTACTGTTGGATGGAAAAATAAAACAGAGCGGGTTGCAAAAGAGTACATGTGGCGCAAGCCTGTATTTGAGAAACTCAAAGTGTTTATATATCCATATATGC